ACTATCATGTGTGATGGATGGGCTCGGGCATATATTAATTTCTTGGCCAATTGTCCCTTGGGGACTTCCTTTGTGAAATCTATTGGTACATCAAACAATGCACATGACACAACTTGTGTGCGTTGAGGAATGAGTGGGAAGAGCATGTGGTACAAATTGTCACTACCAATGATGCCGCATATTTTTCAATTGGGCATCTCTTGACTCTGTAGAGGAGGCATATGTTTTGGATTCTATATTTAATACTTAAGGACATAGTGGAGACATCAAACGTTAAATGGGCAAATACAAAAGCTAAGTTTGTCTAAGGGTAAGGAAGGAGACAAAACCTTAATGAAATATTCACCAGGATGCCAAAAGTTTTCATTCTAGTCTTTGCTTTGAGCAATTGAATGACCGCTCATCACGCAACACCTCATACAATACGTATATTGACACTTAAAAGTTAAGTTGCAAATATGTTCACCTCAACAACAACTATATCAACATTCTCTTGAGCAAATAGAGTAAATGCCATGGCAGTGCGAACCTTAAGCTAAATTTGTCAATGTTTTTATTTATTGCCATAACCTAGTTGTAAGCAAAATGAGGAAGATTATATAGAAGAGAGTGATAGTGAGTCCAGAAGTAACTAAATTTGTCACGACATATCTCACCCTTCAAAGCATGCAAGCAAAAAGATACCTTAAGGAGCATGTTTACTTCAGAAAAGTGGAATAAAAGTAAGTTCTCAGGGCATCAAGATGGGGGAAAACCATAGTGCCTAATATATCTTTTTGGGCCCAAGTTACTATTCTTTGGTTGTTTCTCACGCTTTGGTGAAAGTGCTTCTATTATATGATTGTGACGCAAAGCCCACTATAGGCTACATACATGAGGCAATTAGGGTGAATGAAGGGATCAAAATGGTTTTAAAGGATGTTGAAACCAAATACAAGCCTATACTTGAAATTGCAGATAAGAGATGAGATGCCCAGCGTCATCGGCCCCTCTACGCAGCTGGTTACTTTTTGAATCTATCTCTTCACTCTAAGCGCCCTTCCATTAAATCAGATTGTACAATAAATGACGGTTCTTAGATGTACTTGAGATGTAAATCCTTGATCTGACTATACAAGATGCGATCCAAAGTACTACGTAATCAAGTTCAAGTGTATGTTTAGAGAATTTTGGATGAGATTTCGCAATTCAGAGTCGGGATACTACACAACTAAGTAAACCAAAAGATTTAAATTTTAAACTTTGAAGTTTGAATTTCAATATAAAGTTAACTATACTGTTTCTTCTTTGCTTTGTGTTACTTATGCAGTTATATGACATATCCAAAATAATATGCAACTGAGTGGTGGGCATCATATGGGGTGCGATACTAAATCTTCAATATCTTGCTATTTCGGTATTGAGCCTCACATGCAGTTCCTCCAGTTGTGAGTGCAAATGGAGAGCATTTTGAGCATGTAAGTCTTATTATATAAAAATAGCTCATGTTCTTGTTTCCTTTCTTTCTATCACATCTCCATAGAGACAGGCAAGAGCAAAAAAAGTTGAATGATCTTGTCTATGTCCAATATAATGAGCGTCATAGGGGAGTATTTGAAGCACATGGATGTTGACCCAATTGTATTGGATGAACCTAAGGGCACAACCGAGTGGATAATAGATCCACAATCAGCGAGGGTGTTGGAGGAGAAGGGCCATCACTATATCGCAAAAAAAGAGTGGGGCTAGCAAGGGACTGTAGGGCCCAACCCTGAAATTCTAGGGCCTGGGCCACAAAATGTGGCCAAAGGGGCTATAGCCAGGGCGGGCCACTACTGCCTGAGGGCAGACCCGTCCGGCCCATTTTTCCCTTATTTTTTCCTTTTTGTTTTTAGCTCTATCTGGCCTGGCCTTACTGGATGGGGCCAGGACTGAGCTTGGGTCAGAGCCTCTTTGGCTTGTCTGGCTTTGGCCGGCCCACTAGGAGCCATCACCAGTCTAAGGCTAGGGCTGGCCTGGACCAAACATGGTCGATTGCCATCCCTAAGGAAAAGAATCGGGTCCACGCAAGTTCCAAAGAATGAGGAGTAGGAGGTTGACTCATAGGCGACTGAGGAGGAAGATGTGTGGATAGGGGGATCAAACTAATGATGATGGCTCTACAGCCTAGGCTTCCAATGTGGGAGATGCACGTGGTGGATCATCATATCATTTATTGGATTGAGACCGAAGGAGACATCAAGTGTATTATTAGCGTTTTTATTTTATGTCATGAACATTTGTCTTTGGAGTCTGAACTTTGAAGTTTGGATGTTATATGTACATGTGATTGTGAAGGACCATTGGATGTCATGTCATGGCTAGTTGGCATCTTGAGTTCTATTCAATTTAATATTATGAATCATGGGGGCGAGATTCCTATTTTTAGGATTCAAGATTCGACCAAAATAGAATCAAGATTCGTACCTAGATGGAATCGAGTTTCTAACCTAGTTGGAATCGACCGATATGGAATCGAGATTCAGACTTGTTTGGAATCAAGATGGAACTAAGAGGGAAACAATATATGTCTCAATGTCATTCACTGACGAGCGTGCCATATATGCATGTTTACATTATTTGTATTACATTATTTCCAAAATTTGGAGTTGCAATCTCTCTATTGGATCGATACGATGTATACTTAAAGCAAGAAGTAGAGAACATGGACCACCACTTTGGTTTCCTTTGGCTATTTCATGCCAAAAAAGATGATTACACCTTGTAGCTTGAGATTCTAGCTCGAGTAGTTTGTGCCAGAATTGCGTAACTGCCCACCACTCATGGTGGCAGTTATGCCCACCTTCCCCACTTCCTCAATCCATGCCCTCTGGCTCCTCAATTGTGCACCAGGCTGTATGTACCACATGGGGCTTAGGGAAAAGGGGCTTGACACCTAGCTTGTGGGCTCTCTTTAATTTTTCAATCAATAGACTATTTAATCTTCTTCCGTATGAAATTCAACCTACATCAAATACTCTGGTCCAGTTAGTGTTCTGGACTATAATATGGCAGAATCGTTGGCTCTTCTTACAGGACTGAGGAAGTTTAACCATCAATGGGGCATAAGTTTGTTAATCGAACGTGGTTCCAGCAGGGTCATAGCTTGGATTTTAAAACCAGTCCTGGCCCTTGGATGTTCTTTCAAATATTTGATAAATTTCCCTCATTTCCCTCCCCTGCCAACATCTACAAGTGTGTCCTTGACTCACACATGGAGAGCATCAAATTCCCTTGCAGACACTTTGGCTGAGGATGGTGTGCAAAGACCTAGTCTTTCTTTGCTGTGCCCATCTTATTTCTCCTAACCGTACCCTATAACCTATATCGGTTCAATTTCTGCAAATCCCCATCCCCTATCCTGTACAGGACCATGAGTTTCTTGACATAGGAATATTGTACCTCCTGTCTTCTTCACCAGATTTTTGTAGTATACATTTTTAATACAAATTAACATCCTCAGGAGAACAGCTGAGGAATACATCATGAGCTCATTTTTAATTCTCTGAGAAATGGTTTCCCCTAAATATGAAAATGATGTTTCCCGACGAACGCATGTTTACATTCCTAATGTGTATTATAGCGTAACTTCTATTTGCTCTTTTCGTGTTTCTGGCTTTAAGTGGTTTCTATATGTATCAAGTTTCCTACCTTTGATGTGTTTTGTAACTAGATCTTACTGTGCCCTTAAGTTTATTGCCATGGAAATCATCATTACAGCTAAAAGGTTTGTTGCTTAACTAATACTAGCATTGTAACCATACCACAAAGGGTTAGGTAAGAAAAATAAAAATATAAGAAATAATAATAATAATAATAATAATAATAATAATAATATTATGATTATTATTATTATTATTGTTATTATTGTTATTATTGTTATTATTGTTATTATTGTTATTATTGTTATTATTGTTATTATTGTTATTGTTATTATTATTATTATTGTTATTATTATTATTATTGTTAATATTGTTAATATTGTTAATATTGTTAATATTATTATTATTATTATTATTGTTAATAGAGTATTAAAAGTTTTAAATTTGACAAAAGGTATAAATGCATCTTTTATGAGAAAATAGTAAAGAATTTTATCTCTAAACTTCTATTGAATTTTGTATGAATATGGATTCTGTTGTAGCTCAAGTGGAGAATGGGATTAAAAATTAGCTAAAGTGGATACCTAATTTTTAAGGAAACCTACTAAATGGAAATTGAAAGAGAACATGAAGTGTAAATATAAAACCCAAAAAAATACACATGGTGTAAATAAAATAAGAGCAGAAAAGCAAAGAATGAGAAAAGAGGTACAAAAACATATAATATGAAATTTCATGCCATAAAGTGTAATGCATGCCTAGGTTTCATATGTGTTAAGGGGAGATCTTTAAATGGCTTAATGAACGAAAAGCTAAATTGACCATCATGGCGTCATTGTTCTGATGTGACTTTTGTTTTTATTTTTTATTTTGTTTTTTTTTTATTTTTCAACTTGTGAGATTATGGAGAAATTTTTAAATATTGAAAACCAAAAAAATATGAAAGTTTCATCAAATGACTGATGCCCCACCCTTATGTGGCATGTCATATAGCAATAAGTCAACAAATTGCTCAGACGTATGAAAACAATGATTATTTACATTGGGTAGAACTTGCAAAAGAATTTGTAATCCCAAAGTCTTGAAGAGAAGAGCTTAAATGTCCCAATAGTAACAATCTAAAGTTTAAAGTCACAGAACAGCAAAAGTTTTTTTTTTTTTTTAATATGTACAAAACAGAAAAAGTTCCGATTTTCGCTTATCCTGATCTGATTTTAGTGATGAATTATTTCCATTTACATTTTGGACATGTAACTTTGAAATTCATCCCAAAAATATATCTCATCATTCATCATCAATTTCAATGAATTTACCATGTATTAGTCACTGCTTTATGTCACCACGATAAATTCTTATGACATCCCCTTTTTTTATTGCCAGAATGGAGAATATCTGATGAATCCATACGTGCTGGATTAGAGCATACGTACTTGGTTGGAAGATGCCAATTTCTGACATGCACGGAAGTTGAGTTACTTGGACTCTCTGGAGTATCTGTATTGATTGATGGAGGTGGTTTCATAATGATCCCCTCTCTATTTTTTATTTTCATGTCATATCTGCATGCTTGACAACCTTGAGTGGAATTCCAGCCCATACTGAAGCATCTGCTGAATGTTTAACCAAGACGATTAGAATGGTGTATGCCAAGGCTTCAGTGGCTCTTGTAGTGGCCATGGCAAGTGACAAAGACCATGTATCATTTGCAATGAAAATGCTGTCAGGTTAGTTTGCCTATGTATTTCAAAAGCTAGACTCTGTTTCTCGTGTTACAAATCTTTTGATTCAACATGGACTACTGCTTTATGCTTGACTAGTTCCTGTTCCATGCAGTAAGTAATTGATACTGGGAATCATGTGAATTGTGATTTGCCATATTGAAAAACTGTGTTAACTGAATAGTTTGCAGATTGTGTGCCAATAAGCAGAATTTGTGTGGGTGGAAAAGGAATGAAAATAGAGGGAGAGTTGTTGTAGCAAATGTTCAAGAATTGGACCAATTGATAGGTGGTGATGATAACAGTAGCATTGTTGGAAGTGATATAAAGATTTTCTTTTGGGTAATTTATCAAAATACACATAAGAGTTCAACTATTTAACATTTTACTCGTATCTTTTGATTTAATTTCAAAATATCCATCAAAATAGACATCACCATAAGTTGGAATAGTTGAAAGAGGGTAAATTATTAGGTAGATTTTGATAAATCTCCCTTTTCTTTTAATTGATAACAGCTTGCGCTTATCCTGAGAGTAAATATTGTCTTATGTGTTATGTACATAGAGGGGTACAGGATACTTCGTACTTCTTAACCTATTGGTGTAGGGCTCCTCATCTCCAACCTCTGGGTTGGACGTTCAAGATCTATGCACCTAGGGTAAAACAAAAAATATTTTCTGGTACGTTATGTATTATATTGTTCCTAAAGCTTTATATATATTTCAATGTGCTATTTCAAAGCAAGTTTGATATCCCGTAGTATTTTTCTGACTTCTTTATGTTCAACAAATCTTTACTGTTACTTCAGCAGATAATTTAAAATGATAAAATTATTTTCGCACTTGTCAAAAAGAAGAGGATTTGGGTTTGCATCCTATCTGTACTTTTTTCTAGAACTATTTGATTCGTAAACTTTATTATCAATCCTATCTTTTCTTTTGATCTAGATTGTCATCTAAAACTTTTAGTCTTTTATTACCTCTTAAACTGTTTTGCCCCCTTTCTTATCAATCCTTTACTATGGCTCGAAGTTTAAATGCATTTAATATAAGGGCGCCAAGTATGGATTTGGCAGGCATGCAACCCGTGGTTGTGATCCTGACTGAGGCAAGCATTGCTGGAGGTAATACCCGTGTAACGCCATCATCCTTGTTAAAAGAAGCTTGGGTATCTGCTGCCCAAAAACTAGCAATCAACTACTATGATGTGGACATGGGAAACCATAATGATGTTCATTATCTTCATAGGAATTTAAGGGAAATTAATGAGCCAAATTTACTCATTGGATGTGGAGTGGGGTCTGTCAAGGCTTCACTAAAGATGACTTGCAGCATTGTCAAAGAAAGGGGAAAAGAGGAACCCTTCCTCATTGCTGTTACTGGTTCCCTCCATATTGTTTCTGTGGTATTATCCTCACTGACCTAGTGACTTATTATTAATGGATTATTTTTCCTTTTGGATTGTTAATTATTAATGTAAACTTATGTATCAACAAAATCAATGACATTCATTTAGTGCCATTGATCAATTGCAATGCTATGTCTAAACATTGTTTTATTTTTAAGTATCGATTAACTCAATGACATTCATTCAGTGCCATTGATCAATTGCAATGCTATGCCTAAACATTGTTTTATTTTTAACTGTTTTATAAATGCTATTGACACCAAATTTGGGGTGGCCAATCATCTCTTAAGCTCACACCAACAAAACTATAATATATAGGGCATTGATTTCATGCAACCGTTGTATAGTAATATGATACAACAACTTTAAAAAAAATCTTATGTCCATTTTTTTAATCCAAAATTTGAAATATACACTCTTTTCATTTTAATGAACGATTACAAAAAAAAAATTGAAAATACTACTTAGAAAGTATTTTTTTAACCCAATTAACATAGGTTGTTCATTTTGGTGAGATGCTTAGATCTAGGTCTTAGAAGAATTTTTTCATTTCCAATTTTTTTGGATGGTTTTATTATCATTAGATGAACAATGTTAAAAAAGGAAAAAAAATGTTTATAAAGGCTAAGATCATGAAACTCACAAAATGAATGGTCTAGATTCATTTTTGAAGAGGATTCATTTTGATCATATCTAATATTCAAATTGAACTTTTTTTTGGGGGGGATTGATTATTGAGATGAAGAGAGTGCTTG